GAACATGACAGAGACCAGAATGAAAGATGTTCATGTAAATATTTTTATCCATCAACACTGATGGCCTCTAAAAATAATCACTAGGAAGTCAAAGCGAGGTATTCTGGAATATTAAGTATTATTAGTGTTATACCTACTCACAGCAACATTTACTTTCTTCTCAAAAGTGCCTCGGTCTCGACAGCACATTTATTGTGAAAGCCCTCCATTCCCCTGTGAAATTCCTCAGGCCAATGAAAAATAATTAAGAGCTCAGGACTGACTATATTAAGGGCAATTAAAAATGCTTTGAAATGTTTTGCAACTACAACCAGTTCCTGATGAACATCAGTGGCTAATTCCATAATCCTGCTGGCAACTGTATTTGCAGACAAACTTATGCCTTCAAACACTTTCTTTTTATCGGGGAAAAAAATCTTGCTTGCCTTTATAAATCAATCTTTTATGAACTGGCCTTCTGTGTACGGTTGCTGTCATTTCACTGATGATGAGGCTTGCTCTTATGGAATCTTCACTTGATTTGTTAATATTTGTGAAAAAGTTTCGTTTTGCAAGAGCTGCTTTGAGTTGCTGAACTTTTTCATCTCGCCTGTTGCCAGTTATCTCTTTATACCGTTCTCGATGCATCCTGTCGTAATGTAATACATACATACGTAATGTATGCATTGTACTCCTTTAGCACCGGAATAGATTGCAGACAAACGAGACACTGGATTTTATCCTTCATCTCTGTGACAAAATATAAATGTTTCCCCACTTGGAAAATTCATTTTTCTTCTGCAATCGTTCTCGGCGATGATGATATTATTGACGGTTAATAAAAGCATAAATATACTACCTATTGTTAGACAGTAAAATATTTTAGTAGCCCCAACTACTGTCAGTAGCTAGCATGTACGAATTAGAATTTTAATTACATACTAACTAGAACTGTTGCTTAGGTAACAAATGGTAAATTCACTGGAAATAAAAATAATAGCGGCATAAAAAATAAGAAAAATAATATTTCTATGGCGATTATTGAAAATGAATCCATAGAACACAAAATGTATTGTAAGATCACCCGTGGGAGGATCATCAACAAGAGGCATTTCCATAATGATAGTCTTAAAATACTCTGAATGGACCTGAGCAAGATGGCCATGAGAAAAAGTCAGCTGATCTATCAAAGGAAGGGCCCTCACCAACAATATAGAAAACAGTAGAAGTTTATGAGGAAGCAAAATATATAAATGATCCAGAAGAGCTCAGCGGCGCAGAAGCTAGTAAGTGGATGCGAGAAGGCGGAAGGCATGGAATGGATAGCAAAATTTGTACCGAGTTGGGATTTAAGGAATAACGGAACTGGAACGAAAATGGATATCGGTTTACGGAGTGTGATTCAGGACAGGTGGTGGAACTTTATTAGTCACTTTTTGTTAGTCCAAGTGAGTCATTGCTGGCCGCAGATAATTACTTCTGAGT